TCAATAAATAGTTATCCACTAATGGTAATATGTACAAAATATTTTGACTAAAAAAAGGTTATTTTTATATAAAGAAAGTGGTTGCTTTAAGTTTTCAACTTAAAAGAATATTACATTTATAGTTCTAATTTATAGCCAGAAGTTGAGGATTATCGAGAAAGTTTATCTTTATTAACAAACACTTAGTACTTCTTAAATTTCTCTTACGCCTTAAATGTGCCTAATGCTGTTCATTATTATTTCTAAGTCTTCGTAAATGCGTTCACCCCGGTATTCGAGTAATTATCAAACTTTTAAAAATTTAGGCAGGTTGCATGCAGCACTCGCAGCACTATAACTGGCTAATGACGGTTAATGAGCGAGAAATGGCCATTTCAGTCTCCCTTGTCCTTGTCGGCAATGCTCGTTAGCTCAATAACTGATATCAAATTTCGAACCCAGCTTAATATGAACTGGCCCGTAAGAGTTACTCCAAATCGCACATCCATTTCCCAGAAAATCAGAAAGGCCATCACCTGTCGACTATCTCAGGAGCTACCAGTAACGCGAAGTACGCTGCAGTTAGAAAATAGGAACGCGCATTAATTGGTTTCATTTTAGCAGCCTTGTCGAAGTCCTCCTCAGTCAGATGCGTTTGTGCGCAAATAATTTTGACGTATTTTTCTCAACCATTTCCTGACTGGCTACGGCAATCTTTAACGCCCAGAAGGGGGAGAGAGGCTACCACCATTGGACAGAGGGCCCTTATTTAGCTGAGAGCTCGAAGCCGTACTAGAACATTAAAAGTTTGAAGGTTGAGGTTCACTTTCCGAAATTTCGATTTTGAGCTAGGCGCATCAAGGTCTAGCCTCTGATATTTTAGGAAGCATGGAAATAACTTGACGAACAAACAACAACTTAACGGAGAATTGCTTCTTCGAAGAAAACAGTCAAGCTGCCGCTGTGATGGAGAGCCCACCCCCCCAGGCAACGGCACCATGGTTGAGAAGTAGCGTAGGCATGCACAACATGCAACGGTATAGTATACCAGTCCTGGCTACCTAATAAAAATAAGTAGCGATATTTTATGTGCAAATTGCGGGGCTGGTTTTTATACCACTGCCTCGACGAACGAATCCCTCCGTCGGAGAGCGAGAAACAGGTTGCACTTCAGTAAAATGCGGAAGTTCTATTGAAAAAGCCGTTCTTAAAAAAATACATATTCAGGGTAAAAAAACTGAAGTCAAACTTCAAAGCGCATATGCAAAAAAGCACGTTGATATAAAGTCTGGGTAGAAAAGGTGGCTGGAAGGCTTCAACGGACCTAGCTTGGTAGATAAAACTACTGGGAAGACAACTACAATTTACAATTGAAAGTGCTGGATATGAAAAGCCGAAACAGGGGGCGCTTAAGCAGACAACAACACAACATTGAGTATCGGCGCAAAAGGACGAGTATATACTAATAGAAGACACACAGGATGAATTCAGGACGCTCGACATTTTATCAGACCGCCGCTGGGCACGTACAGAGAGCCATCTGCGGTAGATATTGAGGGAAGAACGGTACGACAAGTCGGTTTTATCACGCGCGCACGTCAAAATCCACCACAGGGATCTGAGAAGGGTACTCCTTTTCTAGCTGAAGGCCATTCGCGGATCCACTTTTCAATTATATCCTTCTCTAGAGCCCTGGCGTATTTCACCTCGGCGGTATCGTTGGGGTGGCTACCCCGTAGGTCCAGATGGTGGGCTCCAGTGGCGATACGAATAATATCCACGTTCGGAGCCCGACTGTCCTCGAGAACACCGAATGCGGACCAGGGGTCCAAGTCTCCATTACTGAAAGATGAACAAGTAAGAATGACGTATTGCCGCTTAAACAGGACACGAGAATATGCATCGCCTAAAATACACGTAACTTTACGTCAAATTCCGGAAAAAAATAGGTTTAGGATAAAGGTGAAGGTTAGGGTTGATTATAGCGCTGGGTTTAAGGTTAGGAATAAGGGCGGAGCTGGAGTTAGGCTTTACAGTGAGGTCGGGGTTAATATTAAGGTCATTCTCGGGGTTAGGGCATGTGAACATTTGCTCTTCCTAAAATTAATCGAAAGGCCAGTTGTGTTAGGTGGGCGGGCGCTCCTGATACAAGGTCCTGTTTAGGTAGTCATACGAGAATAAAATATTTCCAGTACGTTGCTGCGCGGGTTTTCACTACAAGACGTAACATACAACACTTACCGATAAATACATGGGACACTGGGATGGCCATTTCTCGCTTATTACCCATCATCAGCCAGACATGGTCATTCCAATCGCCCGTGTTTTTGTCGGTAATGTCATTCTACCGTCGAATGGCTGCCGGCGGGGGTCAAGACAGAGCAAGACAGGCATGCCAAAAGAATAATTTATAGTCATATTCAGTAATATCTTTACCATCGACCGGATTTGGTCATTTGTATGATCGTGTTTACGGCTTTTCGGTTCAATCGGGATCTTAGATGTACTTGAAACGACCGTGAACATGTTAAGTGTCGATAATTTCACCATTTGTATCGCTCCATGCATGACGATTGGCGATATCGGATGTGGAGAGCTTGAGCTATTATCTCTTCCAAATGAGGAGCCACTTTCATCTCCTTATGAACTTTCTAGGGCCAAGTTTTGAATTGGTGTCCATTTCAACACCTCTAGGTGGCCGACGTGTCAGTCAGGGGCAGTCATGCCGAGCTCATGATGCGAATGACGAACGCGCACAAACCGCCTAAATCTTGCTACTCAAAGGCTTACGAGAAACTTGGTAATAGCTAAAGCGATATTGTAATTCAACCGATGAGGACGAATGCCATTTAAGAAATCCCCTCTTAAGAACAGAACCCACACAAGGTCTTCTAGGTAAAAAAAATATCCAAAATTAAGAAATCTTACTTCAGTCTACGACTGCGGACAATCAGTTGGAAAAGTTGATGCGTTGACATAAAAGGCACCGAAGAGCTCTCCTCCCCTCACTCACCTGAAGATAACATTGGTCAGTGAGTGCAAGTTTTTGCCCCAAAAGCTGACATCCGCCCAACTCATCCGAGGCCGAACGCCGTAGGCGGTCTCACAGTGCTCGGCGAAGGCCAGAGGATCCCAGGCCTGTGGTTTGAACATGTCCGTCTCGCCGTTTGCGCAGATTGGGGTGGTCATTTCCATGCATGTCTGCAAAAAAAGAGGACACAAACTGAACAGTGCCTTATTATGCATGCATGTACTCAGTGCAAACCATCATCTGTATGATAGTACCCTAATGCGCAGACATTGCTCGGTCTGCACACTGCACCTGCGTCCCAATCTCCATTTTTTCTTACTGTAGTTCATATATTTCAGTTTCCAGGACGGGCGAAAAGCGTAAATATAAACGTCTACTCACTTATTCCAAGTAGTATACCTACATGTAGTTGCACTCGCAGTTCGTATGGCTTTGGGGCATGCGTGGTGAGAAAGCTGATGCGTATCGAGTTTGCACTTCCAGAAGTGTCAACCGAAATTCTGAAATGTGTTTTCGATTTGAACAAATTACTTTATTAGGGTTCTAATACTGATTATCCTACAGACTAATAATCTGACACTTCAGTCACGTCAAAGTGCAGGCGTTTGAACGAGCTTCTTTTTGACCGTCTGCGAAAAGTATATTCTGTAAAAATAGCCACTTGAGTAGCATGCTTTTTATCATTGCTTTTTACTGCCGTTAAAAATAAAAGCATATTATATCGAAGGAGTGTACACCATTGTTTTGTCTTGTACTCATCTGATAGTAAATAACGACTTCTTTAAATTTTTTCGATGTTAAAAAAAGTTCCTGAATCGCCCCATAAGTTTGAACCCTACCGGCCGTTGCACTTGAATTCAAGGTTTCAAAACTACACACTGCATACATTCTGTCCAAAGAGAAGCACATGTTTCGCTAGGGTGTGAGGAAGAGTCAAATAGTTCTCATAAAATGTTGCAAACATGGTGATAATGCTGTATACATGATAGGGGACATTAATGAATTTACGGATACGATGTAGCCTTAATGAGTATTCCAGTCTTGAAAAATCTCATAATCAGAAACTGTTCTAAACCAAAAGGAGTCCTTTCTTCAAGTATAAAATTTGAAGAAGATGATATTTACTGTCAAATGAGTATAAGACAGAAGACATTTGTACACGTTTTCTATGAAATATATTTGAATTTATAAACGCTATGAAAATCATCAATAAAATGCATACTACATAAGCGGCTACTCTTTACAGAATATAGTTTTATCAGGCGGTAAAAAGGAGTTTGTTTAGAGACAGGCTTCTCGACGTGACTGAAATATTGCGTGATTAGTCTGTAGGATATCTAGTAGTAATTAATTTGTTCGAATCGAAAACACTTTTCTGAATTTCGGTGGACAGTGCACATGGATTCAGCCAAGTGAGGAGAACAGCATACGCTAACTTCTTCTCCTCTAACTGCTCCATGCAACCGCTATCCGGCCAGTGACACGGTATCCGTATTTTCAGACGACCGGATGACTGTGACCCGAGCGACCTGTGGAGGGACTAGTAACACCGAGAAAGAATCAGTTTCTTGCCGGCACAATACCAACCCCAACAAAAGCGAAATCACTGCCCAAAAGTGTCGGATCGGCGAAGCACTTGGCTAAAATATCCGAATTCACGACTGCAGCTAACGGATTGAGTTACCTGCTTCACGAGGTCACATGGCAAGATTATCGGAATTCCCGGGTAAGTCGCCTGCAGCTGACGCACTGAGATACTGGCAGCATAAATTAACCCGGCTTCTGAATGACCGTATGCTAGGACGTTCGTTGCGTGCTCCACGGAGTGGGCGTAGAATCAGCGAATTGCCCGTGAATCCGTTCATAGTGAAACGGACCTGCGCAGAGCCTACCGCACTCTCCGCCTCCCACACCCTGTTCTGGCAGCAAGACAACCAACCACGGACACGGACGCAGTGTCAGACAGAGTTAAACAGTCCATCTACGCGTGCCGCACACAGGACCCGTTCTCCAATCTAAATGTACTGGGTCCAGATCTAAAATTAAAGAGAGTGCCAAGAAAGAGAGGCATAATGTCTGACGGGATTAAACAGTCCATCTACGCGTGCCACACACAAGACCCGTTCTCCGATCGGACTGTAGCAGGTCCAATTTTAATATGAAGGAGGGTGCCATAAAAGAGAGACATAATCTCTGATAGGATTAAACAGTCCATCTACGCGTGCCACCTACACGAACTGTTCGCCGATCTGACTACAGCGGGTCTAAATCTCACAGTAAAGAGAGGGCCAAGGAAGTGAGACTAGGGCGACACCATAAAGGACAACTCCCATCTTGTGGCCGCATTTAGGCAGCTATGCCTAGCCTTCAAGACGGGAAACCGGGCGCGGCAACATTTAGTTAAGCGAAGCCCGGCTCTGATGCTTGGCTCGGGCAGTTGTGATTGAAGGTGTTCGTAACTCCAAGAAAAGTCCCATGCTTACCTGTACTTCCCACCCGCGGGCATCGATGTTCTCCGCATCATCGTCCAGAGAAAGGCAGGCATCTGTTCGATTGTAATTTGCCATGGAGAAAAGGGCACAAGCGAACTTTTCGACGGGGTCCGGCAGTAGTCCTGATGGTTTGCACGTTTCCAACGCTTTGCAAAATTCCTATGCACAAAGTGAGAATAGTCTTCTTACAACCGGATGTCCAAAGGCATGTAATTAATAAAATTTGTTGGCTTTTATGTACAAAAAATTTCCTGCATTTAGGAAAAACAGGCGTTGGCTGTGGACTAGACCCCAATGACAGTCTCGTCCAAAGGACGGAGGCAGTGTATCCCCAAGCAAACACACTGTCACTAAAGACAGCTCTTCCGTCGACTTAAATTGAACTTTTTGGCCGTCAGATAATGCTAAATTTTATGACTGCAGGGTCTTTTTCCATCAGCCATTATTGGTTTTAACTCAAAGACACATTTACAAAAACTTACATTGCTGAAAAAATCCTCAATGGGGGAAAATGCAGATGGTGCAAAAAGTGTATATATTAGACTTCGAAAACTGGCATATTTCCTTTTAGGCATAATATAAAACGCGCATTAAAGCCGTGGATAGCCAAGACTCGTAAGTCTGAG